CCGCTCCTTCCGAGCATATGCTTTGATTTTCCCGAAAGAGTCATTAATCTTGATTGACCAGACTTCATCGAAGATTCCGAAGAGACAGCCTGGGGAATGTGTTCCGTGGTCATCTCGGAATTCTTGGAGCTGACGCAGATGGTTCTCTGGCTCTTCTTCCTTCTCGCGCACTTGGAGCGCGGCGTATCGCCGTTCTCCATGTTCAAGGTCGACTTGCGGAAATCTTTGTTCACGTACTTCGCTGCCACGATGCACTTCGATGTGGCAGCGGTCGTAGTATCATTTTTCGGCACAGGTGGTTTGCCGCGCGCGTCCGGCGAACCGCCTTGTCGTAGATTCACTGATGGCGGAACCAAACCGCCGGATGACTTGCCGGACGATGGCGGCGTCGTCGCCTTTATTTTTACACTCTGACTCGTCACCGAACTAGTTGACGATGATTTCGATCTGCCAATTGGCATGTTTACAGGAGATCCATCGGACGAACCGGTCCGCGTCATTTGACGCGATATATTCCTCGTCGATCCATTCCTAGATTGCGGTGTCGAACGACTTTGTGAAGAACCGCTTTTAATAAAAATACGATAATTAAGTGAAACAATATTTATAAAATGCATTTTCTCTCTACTAGATTCTCTAAGGATTCTTGCGGTTTTTCAATCAATCTATTTGCTCTACATTTCAATGATCACGGATCATTTTTTTTTATTTCTACGGTAAAAATGTGATAATAATTAAAAGTTGTAGATATCTATATATAAAATTTTTGTATATAATTTCTTAAAAATTAATTGAGAAAAATAACGTTATTCTCTCTATTTATGCTCGTAAAAACTTAATTTATGAAATTTTTTTAACTTTTGCAACTAATTTGTATACAATATGTAATATATTAGCATATTTCATATAAAATTATTTTATATTGCTTGTACTTTAACATTAGATATTGCAAAAATTGTGCTTGTTAAAAATTGAAAATTAGCTTAAAATTGGACATAAAAACGTGCAATTAATATTGTAATCATGTATTTATATTACAATAAAAATAAGTTAAAAGCAATTATATTCTTAACAAAAGCATAGTTAATATAATATAAATAATTTGTTTCTCTTGTATGTAATTGCTTATAAATTACATAAATAATTACTTCATTAGAAAGCAGATTTACATACCTCGATGTAGAATCTTTTCTTTGCGAAATATCACGCTTTTGGGAAATAATTTCTTCATTTTGATTTTGACAATGTCCTTCTACAATTCGAAGAGACTCCTCGGTCTTAGAAGAAGAACTGGCATCAGACTTGGAAGTGGATCCTCTCCTTTCACAGTATGCTTCTCGTTTCGGTGATATTATTTCAGTCTTTGAAGAACATTTGGAAATCTTTATTTCGCTCTTTGGCGAACTACGTCCAACCCGCGGAATAGACGGTTTTCTTTGGTTATATTCATGGCACCTCGACACAGAACTTTGTCTGCTATTCCAATCTTCGCGACTACCGTTGCTTTCCTGGGAATCCTCCATTGAATCATCTTTGCGGTGAAATGCAACGTTCTGGTTGAAAATCCTGGAGCTATCAGGATTTCCGCTTGTTTCAGTTTTTCGTCCTCCGCAGGAACACTGTTCGCTACCTCGTATTCTACCTTCATTTATTTCTTTCTTCGTGCTATGAATATTTTGCGCCTTCGAGGATGCGTTTGAGTCATTAGACGTTGAATTTTCATTGCTAGTCGTGCATTTTGAACCACTGGGAACTTCCTCGGTTTGATTTTTATTGCTAGAACTATGAGTTTCCTGACTAGAACTCGACGATTCCTTGGTAGCGGATTCATTTCTCGTGGTCGCCGGAATTTCGTTCGTTCTCGTATACGCGAAGCTATTGAATCTACTACTGGAAGAGCTCGCATTAGTGAATCCTCTGGACGAATATATAGATGGACCTCCAACCGAAGTTGTGCCTGATGACGAGTATTTATCCAAATACGTTGACCAGGGTGCCCCGGATATTCTATTGTTGCCTCCATACCTCGAGAATCTTGATGTTTCTTCCATTCGATCGCACTGCGTCTCTTCGTCCATGGTATCCGGTAATTTTCGGGCTCTGGTCACTTCTTTCTGATGAACGATACCGATTTCCGCCCGCCTGCTTCTGACATAGGACGAAGAAGCTGGAGGTGTTGGTGAAGTACTTCTGGTCATCATCGTCAGCGTTACAAATTCGCTGTCAGAAAGCCTATTGTTGGTTTCATCCTCTTCCATTCGATTTGAAGTTTTATATGCTTTATGACTTCCGTCTTTGTCAGGCATAGTAACAAGCCTTGATTCCTCTTCGTCTTTCTGGTTAATAGACTTAGTACTCGCGTTTCGGAATCTGTCTGTCGCGGAATAATTTATGGCTGTGGGTATTCGTTCGTTGCTTCGCGATGAGAGAAATCGTGAACCAGCTGTCGATCCAAATCTTGTCGAGATTGTGGTCGAGCTTGATTCAGACGTACCTGAACAGTATAGATTTAAAACTAATTGTTTATTTGTGTGAGTTTTGATGATTAAATAAACAAATAATATTCATTACAATTTTCGCTGTTATAAAGTTTGTTTTCAATTTAGTAAAAACAACTTTTAAAAATATATTTTGGAGTTTAAAAATTTTCTATTTTCTAAATGTTTTTTTAAAATATGAATTACAAAATAATATCTGTAAAGTGGCCTAATAATAATAAAATTATAAAATTAAAGAATATCTTCTCATATTTTTGTGATTTATAATACAATATCTAATAAAACAATTGCACTCACTGGGCGATGCAGCTGAGCGATTATAAGACGACGCCGTTTTTCCGACACCGACTTCCGGACTGGGCTCGCGTGATGTTTTTCCGGAATTGGAACGTAATCCTCTATAGGAGACTGGCGGATGATCCTTTTCGATTCTGCTGTCGTTGCCATAATTTCGTACGAAACTCGATCCAGAATATGTACCGGATCCGTATCGTGATATTCCTTCGGGCTCTCTGCTCTTCCCTCGCGAAGCCGGTCGGTTATATCTGTCCAACACGGAAGATGGCCTCTCCGATGTTTTGCCAGCTGAAAACGAGTACTTTTCAAAGAGAGACGACCTACTATTAGATAACGGACTTTTCACGCTCACGTCTTCAGATGAAGATCTTCCGGAATGTAATCGATTTTTGTCAGCGTCTTTGGTATCTGCACAAGAAGAGATGATTTAAAGATAATATTATGATTATATTCTAAAAATATAAGTTTTATAAATATATATATATATGTGTGTGTGTGTGTATGTATATATAATTTTCCTTTTAGACTATATGTAAATAATGTAGAAATTATCAATACATATTATTGTAAAGAAATAAATATCTTACATGAATATTTGAATTTATTTTTATCTTCAAATTTATCCTTTTTGAGAAAAGCGTTTTCAAAACTATCGAATGCTCGTTCCTTATTAGCAACTCGAGTGGAATTTGATGTTACTCCAGAATAGCCGCTTCTACAGCTTGGCATATTTCCGCCGGAAGTATTCCTACCGAACGTGTTAGCAATGCCGATGCCGGTTTTGCTCCGATATGCTCCTGTATTACCCTGCAATCGCAAATAGAAAGAACTATTATTCTAGTCTTATAAATTATTAGAAATAGTATGGAGAGTCAGATATTAATTTAGAGAATTAATTTAAAAAAATCAATAAATTAAAAATATAAATTATTTAAATCACACGTTAAAAATATTATAAATGCTAAACACGTAACGATCACCTTTAAAAAGATTTCCACTTACGTTAGATAATAATTACATCTTTATTAAAGAGCGTTAAATAATAAACAACATATTATGTAAGTTTAATAAATCATATAAGAAATAATTTTTTTAACAATTATACATGTAATCAAATATTTTGTATATAAATATATAAAAATGTTATATAAATATATATATACATATAAGCTCTTGTTAACATTATATGTAACTATAAATATAAACCTTTATAATAATTCATTTTCAAAAACAAATTATTGGTAAACTTGATGTTGTCTGCAGTTTAAATCATACATTGGTACTTTGTTTTGTTAGCAAGCTTCATCAACCGCTTCTTACGTTTAGTTTAGAGTAACGAGAAGAGACGTTAAACCAATAAGATACTCACAAGAAATTAGGTTGTGGGTGTCCAAGGATATTAATGATACTGAGAATAATGCGGATAATGCATAGTTTGCATATTACAGAGAAGACACATCTAATGAATGTTTTCAGCCAAACTTTTTTGCTCGATAAATAAATATAAATCCATTCTAAGCGTAGTATTATTTATAACATAGAAAAAGAAACGTCATCAATTAACTCTGTGCGATATAAAAAGATACATATAAATGCGTTATTATTAAATAATATTTCAAATTTTATTTATATTTCTATTGAGATAGATGTATATAAGCAATCATAATACTTACATCCAAATTATAGATAAATGGATTCTGGTATATACATAAAAAACAATTCTTTAATTTTGTACAGTACATAATAATAATTAATATTTGTTTGCAATACTGCAAATTAAATCTTCAATTTTCTCTAATATGTAATCGATACATACTTATTAGAAAGACATATAGATAATTAATAATTATATATCTTTAATAAGAATATGAAATATTAATCTAATTTTACATAAAATTAAATGTTTGTAAATTTGATTGATAAATAAAAAAATGGTGTAAAATTGATTTCATTTAATTACTAAGATAATCGAGTTATGAACATACTTTTATGTTCTTCATTGGTAACTTTCTATCATTAATTACTTAAATCTCTCTTTGATCATAAATAGAATAATGAAATGATAAAAGGAAGAAATCAACGGATGAGCGGAAAACTATTTCCGCGAAGTCTAAAGCAGACTAATAGGCGTCATCCGTGAGTATGCAAAAACGAAAAACAATAATTTGTATAATTAACATAAATTTGGCGAAATGCCCTAATCTCGAAATAGATGGATCAACCTGGCCCGGGAGTAATAACCTTAGCATTTCTCGCTCGTACAACGGGTGGCACAAATAACAATTTATATTTTTTCAAGTTTTTGAAAAATCAGACTGTTATCATATCTCTTTTTTATAATATTTCAATAATTATAAGTAATGTGAAAACTAGTGTGTGGTTTCTGGTTTTAATTTTACCTTTAATCAATTTTAAAATAATGAGAAGCCGCAATAATGCACTTATAGAAAAACTTTTAGTTCATTTTCCCTGCTGCAATGTCTATAAAAAATGTCATTCATTATTATGCTAATAGTATTCGATGCAATAATAGAATTATAATAGTCGCTCCTTAATACCGTCAAAGCAATTCTTCCGAGCGAAAGCACTGCGCTACGTCGAAGATGATAAGTCCTTTTATCGCGTTATATCCAATCCCATTATCACGTCTGCGCCGATTTAAACTACGAAAAGATGATGTTTAATAACGCATTTCTTTTTAATCGAACAAAAATTTAATTGCCAATTATATAGTATCAAGTAAATATTTTGCAATAAAAATTATATTTGAAATAATAATCATAGAGAGAAAATTTAAATGTATAAAAAATACAAATTTACTAAAATATCGATCTGTGGCACTCACAAGAAATTAGCTTTTCTGCCAGTTTCTATTCAGAAATTTATAGCCGGATACTCTGGATAGTTTCTGTCCAAAAAATTCTGGCCCGTTTCTGCCTTTTCTTTGTAATCAATCATCTTTTATGTAGCAGAAAGAATAAGATAGAAAAGGAGAAACGAGAAAAATAATAAGAAGGAATTGATACGAGTAGTCTTTGCAAAATTCTTGAGCATGTTACGATCAATCTATTCAATATCGATCAACGATTTATTGATGATTTTAGTTTGCTAATCCGTCAACATCCTTTGACAATAATACGTAATTCTCCAATATGATTTTTATTATGATATGTCAACGCATCAAAAACGATATTGGATCGAGTGAATCTTCCGATACTGCTTATTACTTATGGAAATAGCTGTTTACAACGCTCGTTTTATCGTCAGAAATTGCTATAAGTTACTAGATAAATCGCTCTATTTCCGTCGCACAAGCAATCGGCCTCGTTACGCGTGTTCCCATCAAACTCTTTTTTCTTTCTTTACAAAATGTACGAACAGCAATAGAATGCCTCCATATAGACTTTCCCTCTTATCTCTATCGATGAGATCAAAAATGGTCGCGAGAAAATGTTGCAAACGTGCACGGCTTTCTATCTCTACTGCGGTTTCTTATCTTTTTATAATAACTCGTACAACTTCTATGTTGCTTTTAAGACAACTGTTGCACAGCAAAACAACGCTGTAAAAATACATTCAATATATTGCCATTGCATAATTTACAAATCTATATATTGCAGTCATATTTCTTAATCGCAAGAGTCTTTTTTATAGAAAGTATCAATGATTTTATCATTTTTTAAAATTCATGTTTTAGATATATTTTAATAGAAAGTTATCTCTGCAGCTCTTTTTTTAAATAAAATATAAAATATAATATATATATTTTATATTTTAAAATATTATATATTTTATAAAATAAAAAAAAAATAGATATGCGCTTTACAAATACTTTATCAGCTTTAAGGATAGATTCCTTAATGGAAAAATTTTAGCCCGAGTATAAAATACGCCAGTGTTAAAACGCTGACAATGCATTTTATACACAAACTTATGTTTGCACAATGATAACCATTCCGCACTGCAAAATCTATGTTTGACTGTGCAGATCTATACGTGCAGAGATAAACATGACGGGATATCCGTCTATATTCGGCTCAAAAATTTCGAATTTACGTGACTACGAGAGCGCAAAAAAAGAACGGCTATTCAGCCATCAATAAATCTGACGCAGTATCGTACCATCACATACAAACGTGCGTATACGCGCTATTGCATATCACACGGAGTATCTAAAAGTAACTATGTCACTATATGTTGATATTTGCACTTATTTATATCCGGATACAAATATTGATCGTTAAACATCATCGTTTCCGCGCGTCATACTTCCATGTCTCGATTCTCGAGAATCATATCGAAAAATATTTTTACGCAGAATTAAAGAATCAAAAGATAAGTATTACGCATTTTTGTTTCTTAATTTTCAAAATTTTAGATTTAAGTGATGCTTGTATGTAAAATAGAAAAGATAGTTTTGCTATTAAATAGTACACGTTTTCAGACATATTCATCTCTTTTACTTATATAAACTAAATACTGAAGTCTGTCTTTCTCCCTATCTTTTAAAATGCGATATTTAATATGTGAAATATTACTATTCAAAAATAACTAATTATGCTTTTTATATTTTGATTGAACATTTTATTTGATTATCATGCTTGATGACATTTCTATAAGAAATGATTGTGTATTG